CACAAAAATCCGGAAATCCTCGACATCCTTCAAGATGATGCCAAGGATAATGCCGATGACAGAAAATATATCGCTGTGTTTGTTAGCAGTGAAGGTTCAGTGCCTAGAAGAATGGAATGTAAGTACTGCACTGTTTTTCGGTGCACTCCAAGAATTATTACTTACAGATTGAGATTCTTAGCTCGTAGTGCATGGTCGCGTGCAGACCAACCAGTGATAGAAATCGGAGACCTTAGCGAGAAAGAATCAATGGAATATCTAACCGACAAGCGCAAGATCGACTCTGTAGTGGCAAAAAAACTATATGATTTAGTAGGTGGACGCATCGAAGAACTGAAGGCCACGGCCGATAAATTCCTGGCTGGACAATCCTTCGAAGGTAAGAATTAGTTTCATTATTTCGCATCAAATGACTCTGCTTTAGATTAATTGCTTAACTCTTTTTCTGCAGTCATTAAAGAGTCAATCCTAACTAAAGTCGAGAAGAAATTTGATTCCGCAAAACTCCTTCCTGATCAAGCACATCACGAAGCAGTAAAGCGTGTTATCGGTGCATTGCTTGAGTCGAACGAGATTAATACTGGTGTATTTAGAAAATTTATCGGTGATGAGAAATTCGGTGAAGTTTTAGGAGCTAATGTGTTTGCATATCATCCATCAAGAAATACGGTGTCTTTTCAATCTCAATCCGTGAAATACTATATACAGGAGAATGCTAGTATATTCGAATCCGCTGAAGCATAAGACTTTGCATGGGAGAAATCGCTCAGGGATCCAAAGCCCTTGACCAAGTCAAAATGAACGGATACATTACGGCTAAATGATTCAATTTCTGTAAAATAGTTTATTTCATGAATAGAGGCTAAGTATTCTTGTGAAGTATTGGAAAATCAATAGCTTATAAAGAAGAGTTTACCTACTAATGAATATTTATATATAAAGTTCCCAAATCTGATAAATGATTTAGTTATATTATAGTAGTATCTGAAGAGATTTATGGCCATATCAGCTTTGCTGATAATTGTGAAAAAAAATATCACAACAAAAAGAAAACTATATGGAATATTCAGATGTGATAAAAAGTTTAACAAGAAAATAGAATTGATTATTATATCAAAAATCTATTTAGTCTCTGCACTCATTTTATAAATTATAATGATAAATACCAATCATTATCTGAATTTTTCTCAAAAGTCTTGGATCATAAAAAGAAATCAAGAAAGAAGAAATTAAAAATTGTTAAGAATTTATTGCAAAGTAATGACTCTTTAAGTTTAGATAAAAATGAAATAGCAAATATCAAAGATGAATTATTATAGAAGTTAGCTAAAAAATAGCTCAAAAATTATATTAAAGAAT